AACTCCCGACCTTAGCTGATCTTTCCGCCTTGACCTCCCAAAGTGCTGGGATTACAGGCATGAGTCACCCCACCCGGCCGATGGTGGAAGAATTTTTAAAGCAGGAGGAATGACATGGTCAGTTGCATAGACAGATGAATCACTCCATCCTGTAGTGGAGGGGAGATGAGGGAGGTCCAGTAGGTGGTGAAGTTGTAAGGAGAGGAAGAACAGATTCAGGTGGCATTTAGGGTCTGGAGTCAGTGGGATTTGGTGCCAGTGGGGATGTGGGGTGTGAGAGACAAGGATGACAGGCCTTCTCCTGGCTTGGGCAGCTGGGTGAGTAGCTGTGCCCTGTATGAGATGGGGTGGGGCATCTTCCAGGAAGCAGGTCAGGGAGGAGGTGATGAGGTCGGCTTGGGAGTGGCCAAGTATGAGATGCCTGGGGGCTTCCCAGGGAGTTGTCTAGTGGGCATTTGGGGGCCTTGGAGGCATGTTAGGGTGGAGGTGTGGCTCTGGGAGTTGCTGAAGTCTGAGTGGTGGTGGGGTGGGGGAGTATGGGATGAAGTTGCTTGGGGAAGTGGTATCAGTGAAAAAGAACGTGAAATTCCATAGACTCCAGGAGAGTGTCAGCTCAGACACTCTCAATGGACCCTGGCCTGGAGGATGTGCCTCCTAGGCACCTTGACAGACTTCCATCCCTGGCTTGCTCTCAGCTCCGCCCCTCCCACTGTCATAGGGGACTCACCTATTTGGGACCTGTGCTGGGCAGGGCTAGAGAGGCCTGACCCACACTCATTCCTGTGATGGACGCTCATTGAGAACCGACTCCTGCTGGGCACAGGGTCTCCTGGGGTTTCTCTCCTCCCAGTTTGGTCAGCTGGTTGCAGAACCCAGAGGCCCCTGGAGTAGCCTCTGCTTTTGGGCACTCCCCACCGCATCCTGGGGGCATACTCTGTGTGTATTGGGGGGTGATGGGTGAGCCTGGATCTGAGGTTCTGGTGCTCAGGTGCTCACCAAGTAGTCTCAGCATCCTCTCTGAGGTCCATCTAACCCCCCATCCCCCGTTTTCCTATCTGCAACTCCCCACCTGGTCTGCAAAGTACTGAGAAAATCATATTTATTAAGAGGTTTGACATACACTATCGCCATATACAAAATCTTCACTAGCCATCAACCTCCCTCCCCTGAGGCTTAGGACCTAGGGACCAAACTACCCCCACCTCCCGCATTGACCCCTGGGTGAGCTTCCTGAGCCCCCACAGCCACCTTCCTCACCACCCTGCTATAGCAAGGATGCCACTGCCCTTTCCTGTTTTCCTGGGTGGCCTCATGTATGGGGTGGGGGGCACCTGGTGATCCTATCTGGTGATCTCGCAGGTTACGGATACCCACCTGCATCCATTGGGGCTGACCCGGCCTTCATGAGGACAGAGTTCCCATCCTCAGGGTGCCCTCCCTGGGAGAGGACATATGGTGGGCACGTATCAGGTAGGCGCTCCCGGCGCCGAGACCGCCGGTGCCTGGGGCCGAAGATCTCCATGCACCTCTTGCCCACCAAGTAGAAGACCTCACTGAGGTTGAGCAGGATGCAGATGGCAGCTGTGGTCACCATGAAGTAGGTGAAGACCTTCTTCTCTGTGGGCCGGGAGATGTAACAGTCCACAGTGTGGGGGCAAGGCTCCACGGAGCAGGCCACCACGCGGGGCATGTCGTAATCCTTGTAGAGGCGGTGGAAAATATAGAGGAAGCCGGTGTCCACGGCGGCCTTGAAGATGAGGCTTAGCAAGTACGTCCACCACAGCCCGCCCCGCTTCTTGCTCGGGTTGTCATACAGGGAAGGGGCATTGGGCCCATGTTTCAGGCGGTACCTGCGCTCACGTTCCTCGCGGTAGGCCACGTGCATGACCACGAGCAGTGAGGGGCACGTGACCAGGATGAGCTGCAGGGCCCAGAGGCGCACGTGGGACACAGGGAAGAACTCGTCGTAGCAGACATTGGGGCAGCCAGGCTGCTTGGTGTTGCAGACAAAGTCCTTCTGCTCGTCGTCCCACACCTCCTCGGCTGCCACCACGTACACCAGCACGCGAAAGATGAAGACCACAGACAGCCAGATGCGACTTAGCGCCGTGGAGTACTTGTTCACGCCACTCAGGAGGCCCTGCAGAAATGCCCAGTTCATGCTGGCTGTGTCCTGGGTACTGCACGTGGACGGTCTACACCTGGGTGCCACCCACCCACTCAGGCCTTGGGAGCCTTGAGGTGTGGGGGGACCTGGAGATGGGCACCCTGAATGCCGGTGTGATTGACAAAAGCGTTTCACAATCACCGTGTCTTCATTTCCTCACTCCCATTGACTTGGTAAGGTAGGGATTGCCCTTGTCCCCGTTTCACAAAGAGTAAGTGAAGGCCCGGAGATACCCGCCCAAGGCTCCACAGATGGAAGTCGCAGAGCTAGTCTTGCACTTTTGTCTTCAGCTTCCAGAATTAGGGTCTATTTTATTCTACAAAGTAATAGATACATGTGAAGACAAGCATCCTGCATGGACCTGCTAGCCAACCTCTCTTCCCCCAAGTTTCAGCCCACGACTTCTAGAGAGGTCGTAGGAAGGTTTGAATTGGACGATCTGCTCTGCCGTCGGCTGCCAGGGCTGGGCCAGGGCAGGAGGGGTAGGAGCGTATCCTTATCAGTTGTCAGATCCATCCCACTTTTACTGAACACCAACGGGAGCCTGGCCCTGTACTGGGCACGCTTACATCAGTCCCTTGGTAGATCCCGTAACAATCTTCATCCTTACTCCTTGGCTCTGGCTTCAGGAAGGTTCTCAGCCCTGGCATTCCTGCCCAAACTAAACGGAGGTGCTTTGGAATCACGAGGACCTGACATCCTCCCTGCTAACCCATGTATTGGTACTAGGGCCTGAGGGCTGACTGTCCTGACCACAGTGGGTTCCTCTGGAATTCCAACAATTCCAGCTTTAGGAAGGGACTGGGGAAGGGACTGAGGATTGATTCTGGCATGGTCTGCACCCCCCATTTACTTTCTCTCAGGGGCACCCCCTCCTCTGTCCACTTAGTGGCTTTTTGCTAGCCAAATTTCCATTATTTCCTTCCAGGTCCCTGTCCTATGGACTCCGACCTCCACACCCCCTTGTCTGGAGTCCCCATCAGGTCCCACCTGCAACCCTCCCCTCCTCCTCCCCTTCTCCTTCCCCAACCCCAAGCCCTGACTCTGCTCTCAGCCTCTTTAGACATTGTGTGCCTGGCACATTTTCAGAGAAAGAGGCATTGCCTGTTCCCAAATAATCTATTTACCCGTCTTATTTTTTTGACAGACTGTCAGGTTCTAGAGGGCAGACCCTTTACCTCTGTCTCCCTAGGACCTAGCACTAGCCTGGCCCAGTGAACACAAAATAGATGTTTGTGAAACTGAACTGAAATCCATTTCTTCCTGATCACTCCTCTTCCCTGGACTTCTGTCCTCCCTTAGGTCAGGCAGGACATTCCTTCTCCTCCTTGGCACTTCCCTGGCATCCTCTAGGGACCCCCACACTCTGGCTCCCTCCCTAAAGCCCAGCCCACAGCCTGAGGTCCGCTGGATATCCTCAGCTCAGCTGGCTGCTGGCTTCCTGGCTAGCCTCCTGCCCTATTTGGTCCTCACCCTTGTTGGGTCCAGTAGCTGCTCCCTTGTCCTTGGGCTTGTCCGTCTGCCCCAGGACTTCCCGGAGGCAGCTTTTGTTACTCACTCTCCTGCTGGGTGGGGCTTTCTGGGCCAATGAGCCAAGCGAGAGTGATTGTGGTGGGCAGGCAGGAGGGCGGACTTCCCCGGGCACATATTCAGAGCAAACACCTGTGGCTCTTCTCTCCTGGCCCACGCCTCCTCTCTAGCCTGGCTGGGCATGGCTGGGCCTGGCTCCCAGGCAGGCAGGTATGTGGGTGAGACTGCTCTGTGGGGCTCAGGAGCCTGATATCATGCCTGGGCCTAGGACAGCACCAGTGGGATTGACCCCATCCTCTTCCCGTTGCCTCCTTGCCCCACCTCCCTGTCCTTAAGCCTCTCTCCTGGCCTTTTCCTGGGAAGCCTGATTCTGCGGTCCTCAGCAGCTGACATCTGTGGAAAGGGGCAACCTTAATTTAGTGCAGGAATGGATCCCACTCTGGTCATGGGGATATTTCTGGGGACTGGAGCCGGGGAAGCTCTTGGATTGTGTAGGGGCTGGGAGCGGTCAGCTATGACTTTTCCAGAACAGGGCACCCACAGCCCTGGTGGAGCAAGGAATGCAGGTTGGCAGCATGAAATGCTCCAGTTGGCACGGGGCCAGGCACAGCGTTGCTGTTGGTCCTCTGTGGGCTGGGGCCTCTGGGGTCCTGAGGAAGGCCTCCAGGGAAGCTGGAGTGTGACCGTGCAGATGCTGGTGGGTGGCCTGGGACCTGTGTCCCGGCTGGGATGATGACATTTACTGTGCAGCTAGGGAGGGGCCTTCTGCTTCGTTTCCTACAGGCATTTATCGGGCACTTCCTAATACCAATGATTAACATTTATGTGTCCTTTTCCAGCTGGCTAACCCTGTCCCAGCCAGGAGCTCATCAGTCCTCAGCACAGCCCACAGGCTATGGGAAAGTCACTTCCGCTTCTCTCCAAAATGGGTTAATAATACCTATTAATAATACCTATTAACCCATTTTGGAGAGAATCGGAAGTGACTTTCCCAGAGTCGCAGTGGAACTTGGACTTGACGCAGGCATTCTGAGTCCATGACTTCCCACTGCAACATGCAGCTCCCCAAGGACCGAGCACCATTCTCTCTGCAGACAACTCACAGGCCTAAACTTGCCACGGGGGATAAAGGCTCGATGGGAGCATGAGCAAGTAGCATGTCCCCTGGAGTACTGGAGGGCCCCCTTTCTGGAGGAGAGGAGGCCCCTCCTCAGGCTGGATCAGGTGCAGCCCTTTGCAGGGGCAGAGAGACTGACTCAATGAATGCATGGGGGTCACAAAGTCCGCACAACTACAGAGCACCTGGAATCAGCAAACGGGTTGACTTTTATTAAGCCCTGACAGTGGGCCACACACTCGAAGGTGCCTACATGTGTGTTCTTCTATGAATGCCCCCTCCTCCTTCCTCCAGCCCTGTGCAGTAGCCCTCACGATCTCCATTCTACAGAAAAGGAAACTGAGCTATAGAGCGGAGGGGAGCTGGTCCATGGCTGTCCAGCTGGGGCAGGTGGCTGGAGGGGAGGACTAGGAGTTGGATTCCAGACTGTCAGAATCCTGTCTCTTGCCTGCCCCCACCTCACGGGTTAGCGTCCCCACTCTCAGGTTGAACCTGTAAGAGATGCTAGAGCCTCCCCATCCAGGCCCAACCTGCCAACCCGGTCCAGGCAGCCCCTCACAGGATGGTTTTCTTCACGTGGTCTCGAGGGCGGTCTGGTAAGAGAGGAGGATGACTGTCTGAAGCCAGAAAGATGAGGTCGCCTGAAAGGAGGTCATCCTGTTTGCAGGGAGAGGTAGCGCCGTGTGGGTGATGGCCTGTGCACATGGCTCGGGCTCTCCTTGCTGCCAGGCACTCGTGGCACCTCTTGCTCACCAGGTAGATCAGCTCCACAAGGTTGAGCAGGATGCAGACGGCCGCTGTGGCTACCATGAAGAGGGTGAAGATGTTCTTCTCTGAGGGCTTGGAGATGAAGCAGTCCACTATATTGGGACATGGATCTGCGTGGCACTTGACCACAGGAGGGAGCATATATTTAGGGTAGAATGAGTGGAACACATAGAGAAAGGCGATGTCCACGCTGGCCTTGAACACCAGGCTGCAGACGTACGTCCACCAGAGCCCACCCCGCTTCTTGCCGGGGTTCAGGTAGAGGCGCCCACCATCCTCCCCATAGGCTTCTTGGTGCCTCTTCTCCTGAAGCTCCCGGTAGGCCACATGCATGACCACAAGCAGCGAGGGGCACGTGACCAGGATGAGCTGCAGGGCCCATAGGCGCACATGGGACACGGGGAAGAACGCGTCGAAGCAGACGTTGGAGCAGCCAGGCTGGCGTGTGTTGCAGTCGAAGTCCTTGTGGTCGTCACTCCACACGCGCTCTGCCGTCACCAGGTACACCAGCACGCGGAAGATGAAGACCAGGGACAGCCAGATGCGCCCGAAGGCTGTGGAGTACTTGTTGACCCCACTCAGGAGTCCCTCAAAGATCCCCCAGTTCATGGTGGACCCAAGCGTCGGCTGCTGCTGCAGGGAAACGATAACAGTGATTTCCTACATTTATAAAATACTCGTTCTGAGCACTGTGTAGAACTATGTCACCACCCTTCCTGCTTGCCACCACTAGAGCTAGGTTCTACTACTGTCCCCATTTTATAGAGGGAGGAAGCTGAGGTTTAGAGGCATTATACAAGGTTACACAACTATTAGTGCAGAGCTGGGATTTGAGCATAGGTAATTAAGCCCACAACCCAACTCTTACCCATAAAAGTGGATGAGGGCAGGTCCAGGGAGCCACTGATTCCTCCCAGGGCCTGAGGCTCTTGTCTTAGGGTTCTGCAGAGTGAAGATGTATGGAGTTGGGACATTCTGCCTGCTCCCTCTGTTCCAACCCTGGCCCTCCTTCTCAGGGGGCTGAGCCTTGAGATGGCTTCTCCTCTCCTTTCCGAGCACTGCTGTCTCTTCTCAGACAGCTCCTTCCCCAGGGGAACCTGCTCTTTTTTTTTGTTTTTTCCTTAGCTCAGGGATGGGACTGGAAAGGAGGCTGGAACCTTGCTCCCAAGCCCCAATCTGGTCTAACACTCTGTAATTAGCCAGGGAGAGTCCTGGCTCAAGTGCCTGCTCAAGTGCCACTCATTTGAAACATGGCCAATGCAATCCAGCTGAAAGATACAGTAGGCAGCAATACATTCTCTTCATATAGTAGGCTTCCTAGAGGAGCCTGTATTCCAGTGTTTCCCAAACCAGTGTTCCCTGGAACCCTGTCCCATAGGTTGGCAGTAGAAGTGGGAGAAGAGGATTCTGTATCAAGAAAAGTTGGCAAACGTCAGGTTTAGTAAAGTTAAATAGCTCAGCTGTGCTAATAAACTCACTAATACATTTACCAAAAGAGGTATGAAATATGTGGCATTGCCCAAACTCCTTTGCCCACAGAAGCCCTTTTCCTCCTGACATAACTTTGATCATCTTATGGGATAGCCTTTCAAGACATCAAGTGGGAAACACTGCTCCTGTTAGTACTGCTGGTGAATTTGGCCTGATGAACTCACAGAATCAGATTCACCTCCATTTAAGGACCGTGACTGCTAGGCAGAATAAGGGGTGCCCACTGCCTCACCTGCAAGCCCTCTGCCTGATTCCTGGGGATGGGGGTGTGTCCACCCAGATCCACGCACTGTTGTTTCAACTGACTGTGCACCCTGGGACCCCAAGGAGCCTGTCTGCATAGCCACTAAAGGGCTCATGCTACCCTTCCTGTGCTGGCCCAGGCTGAAGCTCTCCAGGCTGTCTCAGCCTCTGCAGGATCACCTGCAAAGCAGCGTTGTGATGACAGCCAACATCCATGAAATATTCATGCCGCGCCAGGCACCGCTGTAAGTTCTTTGCATGAATCAAGACATTATTCCTTCACAGCAGCCTTAGGAAGGGGCAGGATATTTTTTATTCCCAATTTACAGATGAAGAAAGAGGACCACAGAGGGGTTAATTAACTCGCACAATGTCACACAGCTAAGTGGCAGAGCTAGGATTTGAACCCAGGCATGCTGGATCTAGAGCCCACCCTCTGGGAACTGCCCAGCCTTAGGCCTCAGGCCCTTTCCTCAAGCCTCGATGAGCTGCCTGCCTGTCTGTGTGCAGACAGATTCTGTCCTTCACCTTGTGCCTGGCTCCTGGGGGGCTACGGGTACCTTTGCCCCTCACCCTTTTTCCACACCACCTGCCACTTAGACGGGGAGTGAAGGGGGGCTCTGCTCTGAATCACCAGCTTGCATGCTCAGCCCTGTCTAAGGTAGGCGGGACTCATGGCAGCTTCTCGGGGAACACCCAGGGAGGCCCTCGCCCTTAGCCCCCAGGGGCTTTCACCCAGCCCATCCCTACCTGGGGGTGGCGGGGGTGGGGCGGGGCTTTGCAGGCCCAGGCAGAGCTACTCTGCCTGCCTAGCTTCCGGCCTGGCCCCCTCTTAGCTTCTCTCCCACTCAGTTCCTTGCTCCCACCTTTGCCCGGCTGGGGAGAGCTGGAAGAACCCAGAGCCCCTTATTCCTCCACCATCAGGACCCAGGGTGGCAGATGTGTCCAGGCGGCCCCCCCATCCCCACTCCCCACCAGAGAAGTGTTCTCTTGACACGGGGCAGGACACATTGGACACAGATACCCTTACCTGAGTGGCTACTCCTTAGGGCTCTCCTGCCTCCCGGCAGCCGGCATTAGCACTCAGCAAGCAGCTGGAATTTCATATCCAGAACTGGGGAAGGTTTTCGGAGAAGCCCGTTGAATCCGGCTCC